TTACGATAGATCAAAGATGAACTATCCAGAATCAAAACTAGTGCGCAATAATATACCGAAAGTGTGGCATCGATCAAAATCCATATAGAAATTTGTGCATAAAAGTAAGTAGGTCAAGAATCAAAGAAATTGGGAAAGGAGACAAACCACGCACTGTTGAACGCTGGACTGAAAATCTGACAAGATCTGGATATCTTCCGGCTGAAGATCTACTTTACGATTACTATCTGCGCGAGAGATGAAGAATCATATAGCTGTTCGAACAATTGAAGTGTATATAATGGAAAACGAAGGAAAGGGAAAGGTAAGACGATGGATGACCTGCGAAGAAGGAAGATTGGATGGTGAAAACGAAAACGGAGAAAACTGCGACGCAGCCGAGAAGTTGAAGAAGCGGCAGTTTGCGGCCAGCTTGGTGAGATCTCATTCTTCAACCATGAAAGAGCGAATCCAATCCAAGGGAATAGCAACGAACGAAGCAGGTGAGTGTGATCCAAGAACAAACTGATGCCGCCGGAGGATACGACACCGTTACGAGATCTAAATCCCAAGGACCAAATATGCAAATAATTAAATCTCACGTGACGTGACCTTTAATAAATATACAAAAACAAACATAAGAAAAAGGAAATCTCTGTCATTCATTAAAAAGAAAAGGAAATTCTTTTTATAAATTTCCTTTTTTCTGCTTTTCAAAAAACGGAACGTTGGCTTATATAAATACTCTTCTTGTTCTTGTTGAGAAATCAAAATTCTCTATTCTTCTTCTTCTTCTTTTTCCTTTTTTCATACATGAACATGATCAGTGCCGGCTCAACATTTTTATAGGCCCTAGGGCAAAAAAAAATTTTTGGACTCTTAGAAAATTTTTTTTAATATCTTTTTACTGTAAAAAAATTTTCTATGCTATTTTTGTTAAAAATATTAATAACTAATACTAAAAACAATAAATAAAAATTTTTATAGACCTTTCTAAATTTTATTTTTGTGTTATAATCTAATTTTTTAATATTTTTTAAAAAATATTTTAGAAAATAAGCCCCTTAATTATTGGACTACGGGATTGGACCCCTGGCCGTCGCACCGTCCGCCCACCCATCTGAGCCGGCACTGAACATGATGATGCAGTTCTCTTCTCGATACAGAGAGAATCGATCGCCAATGCATGTAAGAGTCTAGAGACTAAGTAAGCCGTGTGAGTTCATCATCTCAATTTCGTGATTGAATGATCTTCAACATCGAGGAGCAGATTCCGAAGTCTAATTCGATGGCTTCAATTAGAGACTACAATCTCAATTTCGTGATTGAATGATCTTCAACATCGAGGAGCAGATTCCGAAGTCTAATTCGATGGCTTCAATTAGAGACTACACAAAGAGGATCATCAATCATTCGCCGGAGAGGAAGAACAATATCAAAAGTTCAAAACCAAAAGAATCTCAGCGTTGTGGGCTTACTTCTCCCCTTGCCAATGGGCTTTCTTGTATGGCCCCTCTCTGCTACCCAACTCGAACCAGGTAATATTTTTTCATTCTTATTTTTTGTTTGTCTGTTTTTTTCTTTTTTTTTTTTAATTGTTTTTGAATACTAAATTTACATAGTGATTTATGAAAACTAACCGGGTTTTGGATCCAGCATTAGTCGTTAGCGATTCCACAAATTCAACTTGTTTTCTACATTATTATGTAGATTTAGTATACAAGTTTTTTATTCGGATTTCCAAAATTTTTTCTTAATTTTATTGTTTTGGATACTAAATTTACATAGTGATGTATAAAAACCAACCAGATTTTGGATCCAGCATTAGTCGTTAGCGATTCCACAAATTCAACTTGTTTTCTACAACATTATGTAGATTTAGTATTCAAGTTTTTTATTCAGATTTTCAAAACCTTTTTTCTTTAGTTTTATTATTTTGGATACTAAATTTACATAGTGATGTATGAGAACAAAACGGATTTTGGATCCAGCATTAGTCGTTAGCGATTCCAGAAATTCAACTTGTTTTTTACATCTTTATGTAGATTTAGCATTCAAGTTTTTTATTCGGACTTTTCAAAACTTTTTTTTATATTTGTTTTTTTAAAAAATATTATTATTTTGGATACTAAATTTATATAGTGATGTATGAAAACTAACCAGATTTTGGATCCAGCATTAGTCGTCAGCGATTCCACAAATTCAACTTGTTTTCTACATCATTATGTAGATTTAGTATTCAAGCTTTTTATTCGGATTTTGAATTTTTTTTTATGATTGTTTTTTTAAATTTTATTATGTTGGATACTAAATTTACATAGTGATGTATAAAAACTAACCGAATTTTGAATCCAACATTAGTCGTTAGCGATTCCATAAATTCAAGTTGCTTTTTACATTCTTATGTATATTTAGCATAAAAATAAAATAACTATCCATTTTCTCTCCCGAGAGCGACTTCAAAGACAAACTAACACCTTTTCGTTATCTCCGCCGTTTCCGGCCGGCGTCGGCTTCTCCGGCGTCGGCCATCGTCTTTTTCTTATTCAGTTGCTTCTACTTCCCCTAATTGCTGTTCAGTTTTAGATTTATGTAGTTAAAAATGGCAAATCAAAATTATCAAACCCACACATTTTGCCTCTTCGAGACGGTGGTGATTCAGGGACTGAGTCCGTCAATTGCAAATCAGACTCCGGCCATGCCTCTTGAGCCATTCTTGATTTGGATTATCTACCAATTTGTTTGGCTTTCACTGAAAGATTTGACAGATTCATACCGCATCCATTGTCGCCCTTTCTTTGTAATGTCGATTCCATGGAATTGTGATGTCCTTCTTGGTAGAAGGTTTGTTTCCGGTGCGTTTGCTCACTACCGGTGGATTTTCCGGTTATCAACCGGTGAAAGTCCTCTTACCGAATGGTATGGAGATGTTACATGGGTTTTTGATCCCGGAATAAACGAAGGAATCATTCTCCTTGACGGAATCGGAATCATATATCAAATCGGGTATGCTTCTCGAATTGAGTTGGGATTAAGTTTTATCCTCGGAATTCGGGTCACATGTGCAAGATATGGGACTTGGTACTCTTGTGTTGAATGTGACAATGGATTTCTTGTGCCGTTAAAATTGTCTGATGATGGTGATGGTTTCCCATTACCTTGGTTGGAATTTTTCGTCTCGTGGATTGATTGTATGGGTTTAGGATTATATGGTTCCAAAGTTAAGGTGATGACTTTTTTTTATGATGACGATGGTGATTACTTTCCTTGGTCGGAAGCCTTTCTTTTACCAGAACGAGTTCATCGTTATATTCAGTTGACTTGTCTTTGGTACAACCCGAATCAAGTAACGAGCGTGATGAGAAGGAAGATGGTGAAGAGTGATTGTGATGGTGATGTTTTCTCTTTCCCGTGGTCGGAAAATCACATTTCTATGAAAAGGAAAATCATGGGTACCAACCGACAACGTTGCGTAAGACGTTTCGAGTATATCGTATTGAGTTTCAAAAGACAAGAATTAGAATCATTTCAAGCAACACTACAGTTTTTTCTTTTAATCAGAGTAATGCGAAAAGCATTTTGGAGTTTCATCTATAAGATGATAGCCAACTACGAGTATGTGAAGGGGGGACGTTTATCTGTTAGCATGTAAGGCTTCCGATTGGAAAGCAGGGTCATTTCCACTCCTTCATCGAAATTGTGTTCAATTTCCTTTATTTGTGTCAATGGTTGTATTCGAGTGGTTCATATATCATGTAAAACTCTCTTTATGGTATAATATAATTTGATTTGCCGGAAAAAAAAAATGTATATTTAGCATTTAAGTTTTTTATTCGGATTTTTAATTTTTTTATATTTTTTAATTTTTTTTATTATTATTTTGGGTACTATATAATTTACATAGTGATATATGAAAACTAACCGGATTTTGGATCCAGCATTAGCCGTTAGAGATTCTACAAATTCAACTTGTTTTCTACATCATTATGTAGATTTAGTATTCAAAATTTTTATTTGGATTTGAAATGTTTTGTTTATGTTTGTTTTTTAAAATTTTATTATTTTGGATACTAAACTTACATAGTGATGTATGAAAACTAACCAAATTTTGGAACCAGCATTAGTCGTTAGCGATTCCACAAATTTAACTTGTTTTTTACATCATTATGTAGATTTAGCATTCAAGTTTTTTATTCGGATTTCTTATAACTTTTTTTTTATATTTGTTTTTTAAAAATTTAATATTTTGAATACTATATTTACATAATGATATATGAAAACTAACCGGATTTTGGATCCAGCATTAGCCGTTAGAGATTCCATAAATTCAACTTGTTTTCTACATCATTATGTAAATTTAGTATTCAAGTTTTTTGTTTGTATTTTGATTTTTTTATGTTTATTTTTAAAATTTTTATTATTTTGGATACTATATTTACATAGTGATATATGAAAACGAACCGGATTTTGGATTCAACATTAGCCGTTAGAGATTCCACAAATTCAACTTGTTTTCTACATGATTATGTAGGTTTAGTATTCAAATTTTTTATTCGGATTTTTGCAAGTTTTTTTTTTTTGTTTGTTTTTTTTAATTTTATTGTTTTGCATATTAAATCTACATAAATGTATGAAAACTAACTGTTTTTTGGATCCAACATTAGTTGTTAGAGATTCCATAAATTCAACTTGTTCGCATGGTTATGTAGATTTAATATTCAAGTTTTTTTAAAAAAATTTGTGTTTGTTTTGTTATTTCAATTATATTGTTTTAGATATTAAATTTACATAAAGATATGAAAACTAACCGGATTCTGAATCTAACATTAATCGTTAGAGATTCCACAAATTCAATTTCTTTTCACATCGATATGTAGATTTAATATTTAAGTTTTTAAAAGTTTTTTGTTTTGTGTTTGTTTTAATTTTTTTTTGTCTTTTATAGTTTTGGATACTAAATTTACATAGTGATATGAAAACCAACCAAATTTTGTATACAACGTAATTTGTAGATTTAAGTATATTTACTTGGAAATAGTCATATCAAAATGGAAAACGAGTCTCTACATATTATCAAACATAATAATACAACCAAAGGAAATCTAACTCAAAGTCGAAGAAGAAAGCAAGAGTGGGGCAGTCTTGTGCTCATTCTCGACGAAAGGATGATCATCCATGATACAATCATTTTCACAAGTTTGATGGTTACTCAACATTAACGAGCCATCTCGTCCGTTGTTCGTTTCAGAATGTATGGTGAAACTCGAGTTTCCGAATCCTGTGATCCGACCAATGCTTTGCTTACGGTTTCTTTCTCGCTCATCTTTAAAAAACATGTCATCTTCAAGCAATCTTAATACTTTCTCGGCTATGTTTCGAACTTTTAGACCACAATCGAACCTTCTCTCATCAATCCACTCGATCTTTATGGCATCTTCAATAATTACCTTCTCATGTTGAAATTCATTGAATACACTTAGTGGGCCATTGAGCAACAAGTGGTTCAACATTGACAGCGTGTTGTACATGCCCCTCCATTCCCTTCTATCAAACATTACCATTCTACAAAAATAATACCAATCATCAAAGTGTATAGACAACAATATGATGAATTACTATATTTTGCCGATTTTAATGCTTAAATGGTGATTCTATTTTTGGTGTAGTTTTGTATTGATGAAATCTTTGGTGATTTTTTAATGATATTATTTCTAAGTTGTTTCTTTGTATCAAAGTGATGAGAGGCTAAAATAACCTTTGACGTAAAATCTTCACGATTCTTTGGAATTGATCAACCTCAAAAGAAGCTCTTGTTATGACCGCCATGGAACGTGAGTCTATGGATGAGTGATCGCTGCCCGTAACTTCTTCTGTCAATCTTCACATTTAGACGACAGACGGTTTAACTCAAAATCACAAGAGCGCGCGATATTCTTAAATACCACAAAAACAAGTTTTGGTTGCTTCTAAAATATAACAGAGCGATTTAGGTTTAGCAGGAAATGTTTCTATAACTTAAGTAAAGATTACTCACAGTTCTTCTGCAGTGACATCGGTTACAGCGAGACGAGCAGTCTTGATCTTTTCCTTGATGAAGAAAGAAGCTTGCTTCTTCAGTTCATGTAACACCGGATTCTGCATAAGATTAGACATCTCTCTCTCTGCTCTATCAAAAATATCTATATAGAGATCATTCTCGTGTCTTCAATATATATTGAAGTACCTTAATTAACAGAATTGCAGTACGTAAGAACAACAACAACTCCACTATACCTAGAACAAAAAACCCACCCACTCTTTGAACGTCAAAGGTAAAAATTAATAAACTATGGAAGAGACAAGAAACGGAGATTGAGAAATCGATGGTTTTATCTTTTAGTTTGCTGTTGTCTTCTTCAATTTATCTTCAAGATGACGTCATCTAAAACTATTTCATCCTCACAATTATGTACTATATCTTTTACACTTATATTACTACGTGAAAATATTCTTGATTAAGCTATTTAAGATTATAAATTTATTCCGAAAACGGTTGAGGAATTTTTCATTGTGCGGATTTGGTCTCAAACGAATTAGTATTGATTCACATTGAAACGGTTGATTAAAAACCTAGATAATGTGGATATATGATCAACTTGAAAATTCTATTGCATGAAATAAGGAAACATTCTTACTTGTGCAATTACAGCAAATGAAGTGTTGTGATACCAAAAAAAGGCAAGTAATTAATGAAGACTTGTTCAAGAAATTAGGGTAAACAATAAAAGGATCATCAACAAACCACTAAACTAGTTTACTACCTTTTCCTTTGGTTTAGTCAAAAGTCAAACGTAATTTTGTTTTGTTAGTATGGTTAGCCATGTAACCATCATAACAAACCATATCTTAAAAATCATCGAATATAGTTTTTGTTCATATAATTATTGCTAATGACATAAAAAAAGGGATTTGATTAGATTCAAAAATTGTAATGATGTGGGTCAGCCAAAAAAGCCCACAGAGAAGGAAGATAAAGACGAGAGAGAATTAAAGAAAAAACATGTGAGAGTTTCTTCTTCCCCTTTTCTCAAACAAAAAAAAAAGGATAAAAAAGCTTTCTTCTTCTCTCTCTCTATCATCATCTCTGTGAAATTCAAAATTCGAGCTTTCGAAAAATCCAGCTCCAAAATCGTTGATTATCAGCGACTTAAACCCAACTTTGCCTTCAATTTCACGAATCGCTTCGTGGGTCAATCTCATAACTTTGTTGGCAGCATCTATTCTAAAGCGAAATGATGGGAAGTAAAAGAGAAGAAGAGAGGAACGAGAAGATTATTCGTGGGCTTATGAAGCTTCCACCGAATCGTCGTTGTATCAACTGCAATAGCCTTGTAATTTATTTAACTCGCTCTCCCTTTTTACCAATTTTTGTCTTCCTTCCTTCAAAGGCCTAATTGGAATGGTTCCTGTGAGTGTCTCTACTGAGTTTTGAACTGATGGGTTTCGTTGTTATTGTCTTTGACTTGAGGAGCTTCTGTGATTATCATTTCTATAATCTTTTCAAAGATATGTTTTTTTGGGGGCTTTTGTTTGTCTCTTCTAGTCTATAAAATTATGTCCCTTGATGGGTTCTATAAGTGAAGTTAATCTGCAAAGCCAAGTTATTTTTTTTATTCCCAGATATGGAAATGGAAAGACAATCTTGGATAGCTAAAAGTTTTCCATTCATTTGGATTTAATTTCATTCTGGCTTATTATAGTAAGTCTTGATACTGATGCAGGGCCCTCAATATGTTTGCACAACTTTCTGGACTTTCGTATGCATGGCTTGTAGCGGGATACAGTGAGTACCTTCCTCTTTCTTTCCATGTTACTTATATATATACTTCCTTTGCAACTACTCCAGACCTCTGTGTGTTCTTTCTTTTGTAGTCATTCTCTAGAGATCTTATGCTGGTTTCTTACCTTTTTTCTTCCCTCTGATTTTCTTTATTATCTTACATTTTACAGTTAGGTTGTATGTATTTTGTAAAGTAGCAATAAGCAACCTTTTTGTTCTCGTTGTTGAATATATATTTCCTTGTTGATATTTGTGAACGGTTTCCTATGTTCATCCCGCGATTTAGTTTTCTGCTATATTGCTTCTATTGAGTCTAATTCGATTTAAATCTCTGCAGACAAGCTAAAAATGATCCCTCAAAAACATGGCTAATGCATTTGTCTTACAATATACACATTTAGATGCCTCCTATCAAATGTTTGATTGTTTTTGTCGGCCTTCATGCACCTGATCTCGTCTACAGATAGTGTGAGCTGACTTTTTGGTATCAGTATATTTGGTGGCTGACGAGTTACGCGTTTTATTCTATTACTTTTGTACTAATTTTACATAAAATTCTCAATCTATTCAGTGGCTCCCGTTTTATTTATGTGTCTTGTCTTGATTTGGTAAAATGTGGTGCAACTCTTATACTAGACTTGTTATCATGAAAAAGGAAATATAGGCTTATGTGATATGAGCAACTGTAATCTTTCTTTTCGTTATCTTTAAGTATATTCGGAAGTTAATATTTCTCCAGCTGCACATTGTTTCATATGCAGTTATAGGTTTCTTTTGATGCATATTTTAGTATAGGGAGGTGCACTGTGCATTTTATTTATTACGATTTCCTGTTTCTTAGCTATGATACACTGCCTTGATGTAGTGAATATGTTCCTACCTTTTCTTTCTCTCTTAGTTTCAGTTTTTCATGATCTATTTTATTTTAATAACCTACAGCCGTGAATTTACTCATCGTGTGAAGTCTGTGTCAATGTCAAAGTTTACTTCTAAAGAAGTTGAAGTACTTCAAACTGGTGGTAATCAGGTAGTATTGATGCTAAAGTTTCAATTTTTAAAATTTTCCGGAGATAGATGTTTCCCTCTGTAGCTTATGAGAGTTTTCCATTTTCAGCGTGCCCGAGAAATATATTTGAAAAACTGGGACCATCAACGACAGAGGCTTCCCGAAAACAGGTTTAAATAATTAGCTTTCCTTGGTGTTCATGATTGAGCAGCCAGAAACATGGTTTTTTAAAAAATCAAAAATATGATCTGTTTAAAATTCATGATATGTTGTTGTTTTTTCTTTGGCAGTAATGCTGAGAGAGTTCGCGAATTTATCAAAAGTGTGTATGTGCAAAAGAAATATGCAGGTGCAAATGATGCGGACAAGCCTCCGAAAGATAGTCAGGCAAGATAATCATGTTTCGTTTATGTCATTTTTTGAGTATATTTGTGAAATTTCCCATCTAAGTGTGTTCTATTGCTAGTACTTTTCTTTTTCATTTAGAATAAATTTTAGACTTGAAGTTTCTAATCTAACAATACAATATTATGGATTTTAAGATTAACTATGTTGCTCTGAAGCCCAAGGTAGTCACATATAGATCGTCTAATGTCTGATACTTTATTTCTTTTGACTTGCTCTAAATTCAACCATGTGCATGCATGCATGGAACATTTATTTATTTTTCTTTTTCCTGTAATGTGATGGACAGGACCGTGGAAGTTCTGAAGATATGACTCGACGGGCCAACTCCTATCATTCTTACTCCCAAAGCCCTCCTTACGATTATCAGTATGAAGAGCGCCGTTATGGGAAAATACCCTTGGGATTTACCGGCAAGTCTGCTTCAGTGAAAGGTCTTCATGCAAAAGCCTCTAGTTTTGTATACAGCCCTGGACGTTTTAGTGATCATATGTTTGAAGACCAATTCGCAAATGAGGGCTCAGCTCCAAGGGCTTCAGATTTTTCTGTGTCAAGTGGAGGAGATCCGTTCAGGTCTGATATACAGTCGCCAAATTTTCAGCAGGAAGCTGAATTTCGTAGTCCCCAGTTTCAGCATTCAAATGCCCCTCCAAGTGAGAACTTATTTCCAGGCAGGCAACCTCAGGTAATAATAACCCACATCCTCTAGGATGCTTGTTTGTATCTGGCTAAGAGTTCTTTTATTACATTTGTAAATCACCCCATGGTTGAAAAAGTGAGTTTACCGATGTTCCAACTTCTCAAACTTTCTTCAATTACTTCGTTCAGAGAACTACATCTTCTGGGAGTGTCAGATCTGTTGACAGTAGTTCCATGTCTATCAAGTCATATACCTCGAGTGGTTTAGGGGAAGCCGTCTCTGAAAGTCGTCAAAATACAGTAAGGCAGCAAGATAAAGCATCTAATCATGTTCCTTTAGTAGCAGAGTCGACAAAGGCTCCTATAGATTTGTTTCAGTTGCCAGGAGCGCCAGTTGCCCAATCTGTCAATACATTTCAACCTTCAATAGCATCCCAACCTCCAACTGTGGATTTTCATCAAGCTCCACAGACATACACATCCACCCCGACAAATTTGTTTGCTGGAAATTTCGGTCAGCAACCCACTTCAAGACCACCAGACTTGTCTGCGCCTAAGAACGAAGGTTGGGCTTCTTTTGACAATCCCATGCCTACTGTAAAATCTACAAACGTTATTACCTCCTCTGGAGTTCCCCAGTTGGAAGTGAAAAATGAAGGAATTCCACAGCCTAGCACAAGCATGCAATGGCCACCATATCCATCAATTGTGGACCAGCATGCTTTGTCGATATTAAGTCCATGGCAGGAAGATCTGTCGGATGTTCTAAAAAATGTTGTCGATAATCCGGTTAGTCTTAAGTCTCTGTTCTGTCTTTTCAATTACATTAGTGCGTGTGCAGCATGTGTAAATAAAAAGGAAAATGCTTCATGTGCCATCTTATCCTTACATTGACGATGGTACTTCTTTCATCCATGAAAATTGTGATGATCCTGTACATGTTGGGCTGGGCAAACTGGCTGGTCTCATGTTGTCTGTATTTTGTTGGGCAAGCTGGAAACTGACAAACTAAATACTGTATTTACTAGATTAGCATTCATACTGGGGAATGTGGTGAACTAACTCCTACCCGACCTGTTTTCAGCAGCCGTGGAATGCCTTTCCCGACTCTATTGAGGCAAATCCTTTGGACAGCGGTAGGAATACTCACCAACAGGGGGATGGAGCAAGTACTTCGTCATATAACATTGATCAACAGCATCTGGAATCACAAGTTATAGAGGTTGTTGCATTTTCCCTTATCATGTCAGTGTATTCTGGATGAATCTCTCTATTGATTCCTATGTGATGATGTCAAGTCACAGGAATTAAGCAATGATGGCATCCAAACAACCAGAATCCCTGCTGGCTCTTCTGCTTTTGGTTTTCCAGGAAACATTGGCATGGCACCATCATACTCGGTACTCCCCTCTTATGGTTCCAGTTATGCTTTGCAGTTTTCTCTATATCCTTATCGACCACCCTCCGTTCAACTTGCCTTTCCATAATATAGTCTTTGATCGATTGAGATCTTTATTCGCAGGAAGAAGCTTGGCAACATGTTAATGAACAAAAGTCAGCTAATCCATTTGATCTCCCCTATGATTCCGAGTTTGCCTCAAATGACATGGTATGTAGAGCCCTCTTCATGCATATGTCTTACAATGAAATCAGATCTCATACCATCATTTGTATGCAATGGTGTAATGTTGTAGAAACTAGAGAATCTAAAATATCTAAGTTGGGTGATGACTTCAAATCTTGTTCAATGGAAGTATCATGTTCTTTTTGAGGGATAGTATATCTTATGGATCTGATAGGAAAAGAACAGTATTCTTTTCTTAATTTTCCAAATCAAAGAAGCTAGGCATGAATTCTAGAAAATCCCCTACTTTTCCAAGCTCAGTATTTATCCAAAAGACTTGACCACCCTATCTGTTTTTCCTTCCGACCATTTAAACTAGGCATATGAGCTGCTGAGCTGGCAGCAATTTAACTCATGACTCAAATTATAAACTGACTAAAACCTTCTTGTTTCTTCGTATGTATCTCCTTATGGATTATAAGAATTATATGCTCTGTTTTGGGCATGTGTATGCACTTATTTTCTCATTCTATTTACGATTCTGCATTTTGTCTGATCTATTTACTGTTAAATTATTTTCTCCGATGTTGTTTATGCCTCTTTTTAAGGATATCTTCTAAATGTAGTTCATCCGGAGCTCATCTTAGCTTAGACTTCGATAAGCATATTTGCAAAGTGTCTATGTCATTCATGGTTCATTTGATAAACACACAACGTAGATCGTGCAAGATTTCGTGTGTATTTATTTTTGAATACATCACTAGAAGCCTTTTAAGTTCTATATTTGACTTTGTCGTTGTTGTATTTAATGCTAGTTCTTGGACATGAGTTCGTTACACGGGGCACTGCCCGATATCCAGACACCACAAGGCTTCCTTAATGGTGTATCACAACCGTGGCTCACTGCAGATTCTGTACCCTCGTACTTACCTGCTCCAGCTGTCTCACAAGGTGATATTAATTATGTGCTATGAAATATGCTCCTTCTGTTTATTATTCTCCTGCAGGAAATTTATCACCTTACTGTGTTGCATGAAATATCAACACAATTGTGTATCGGATGTTCAGCCCCTTCAAAGTATAGCTTTAAAATATTGCATATATCACGTAAAGTTTAAGTTGAATTTATTCTCACAAGGGAAAGTAAACATTTATGGACATTTATGGACATTTATGGTTGTGCAGACTATATCTCTGGCTCACTATTGGAAACCCATCCTTGTAACCTTATAGGCCTGGTAGGTTATCTAATTCTGTGAAAAACTGCTGCAGGTGGCTTAGCATGCATGGCAGGGCAAGCATCAACGTCTCAACTACAGTAAGTTTCACAATGTCATGATGCAATCTTAAAGATATGATTTATGCGATGCTTTGATGAAAACTTCAAGAACTGCTTTGTTCGTTTGTTCGATAATGTGATAGATTCTATGGTTACATTTTCAGTGAGAATTTATTCTTGATGATTGAATGATGATTTAGTGAGAATGTATATATTGTTTCTATGGTGGAGCTTATCTTTTTGTCTTATTTCCTAACATGGATGTAGGAATTCAGCAGCACAAGGCCCTGTTGCATCTACTGGAGGCAATCCATTTGCGTAGACACACCTCGATCTGCTTCATCATCTTCTTCACTTATGCCTAGATGCTTCATCTTTTGGATTCATCCTCGTTCAGTGCCTTCCATATATTTTTTTAAAAGAAGAAACCAGCCTTATTGTTCAATGTGTTTATTTCTTTGTTCGGAACCAACTTCAGCTGTATGTACCTTTTGATTTGAGTGTATTTGCAAGTGGACATGATTAATAAACAAGTCCACTCGACCAAGAAGCAAAGATGCACGAAACAAGTCGATGCAACTCATAAACACGAGCTTTAATGTCTTGTGATTGAGCAGTTCCAACTTCTCAATCTCTCTTTTTCTGAAATTCAATTTTCTACGTCTACATCATCTTGGGAGTGTCTATCAAGTCATATAGCTTGAGTTTGAGTGGTTTAGAGGAAGGCGTATCTGAAAATGGTCAAATTAAATACAAGAAGCCAGCAAGATGAAATATCTAGTCATGTATCTTTAGTAGCACAGGTTCCAATTGGTTTGTTTAAGCTGCCAGGAGCGCCAAATGGTTCACGTTTGTCAAAAAATGGCGTTGCAATGATTTACATTACGAGGTTCTAATAAGTATATAAATCTTTATATTCCGCGATTGCACGATATCTTTGTAGTATATATGTTGTAGGTGACGGTCCTCGGAGTAAAAGTATGCAAGAAGTTTTAGTGTTTTGTTTTATTGTACTTGACGATCTACTTATAGAAATAGCATAGTTAGTTAGGTAGAAGCTAGGCCTGGGAGTTCGGTGAAATCGGGTTATTCGGGTCGGGTTATTCGGTTTTGGGAAAATTCGGTTTTTGGAAAATCTTCCCGAATTGAACCGAAATTAAATTCGGTTCGGGTCAATCGGTACTCGGGTTATTCGGTTCGGTTATAAGATTTAAAAATAATTCCGAATTAAACTGAATTTTTTTCTATTTCGGTTTATTTTAACCGAATTCAAAAAATATATGAATAATGGGCTAAAAACAAAGCCCAAACCCATTACAATTATTTAAAGCATTAAAAAAAATTACAACCCAATTAAAATTAACAAATTTACAGCCCAACCCATTAAAAATTAGGGTTTTCGTCACATCTGTTGACAGTGACAATGCAGCGACGGGCGGAGACGGACGGCGACGGCTGATCTCTCCGACTGCAAAAAAATACATCACCGACGAGATCGATTAGATATCATAACTATAACCACATGCAATCTATCATCTAAATTGAGAAAATTAGGAAAATAAAAGTATAAATAATTGAAATTCCATAGAAGATTAATAAGATCTAGAGAGTTACCCGTAAATCCGTAAATCCAGCTGAGATTTTGGTGATATGGAAGAGCTTAGCGAGCAAACAACAAAGAATCACACGAAGAAACGATTAAAGAGAAAAAAGAAGAGAATAATAAAGCATGTAGAAGATGATGAATTGATGAAGAAGAAGAAACGTTATACTGATTATGGATTAGGTCGAAGAAGAAGATGAACTCTCTGTTTGAGTTTTGGAAGAAGTAGAGCCGCAGAGGCAGATCCAAAGAAGAAAATGAAACTAAATTAGGGTTAATGACTCATTAGCCTTATATATGGCTGCAGATTCTCGGTTTAAATAAAACCGATCGGCCCGAATACCGAACCGACCCGAACCGACTTCCGAATCCCCAAACTAATTTCGCCGAACGGTTTGGAGTTCTCTCTTCGGTTTACGCCGATAACCGTAATTGTCGGTTTGATCGGGTCGGTTTGATCGGTTTATTCCGAACTCCCAGGCCTAGTAGAAGCTCTTTATGGTCTCATAGAACACATACATCATCTAGAACAATTTACACAACACGTAAAGTACACATACTACTTTTTAAGTGTTAATTCATAATCATAATTAAAAAATAATAATAAATTGACAATTGAAAATTCTAGTAACTTTATATATTTTCATTCATTAGTAAAACATAAATAAAAGTTAGCAAGGACGACTACAATTGCACACACGTTGTGGAGGTAGTGAAGGTATTATTTGAGGAGCATCCGTACATTGGCAAAGATCATATTTACGTCTCTTGTTTTTGAAATCGCCTAAGCAAGCCTTGTTCCCATCATTTCCGCATTTCCCAGTGAACATTTGATTTAGGTGACACCTCTTGTTCGCAGCTTCTACGTCTTTTGTTTCGTTTCAACAACAACAACAACAGATACAATTTATTATTTTGTATTTAACGACGACAGTTTAAATAAACAGAATTGAAGTTAATTTGATAATTCTATATCTTACACAAGTGATGAATCAAAACTATAAAAGGAAATTAATATGTTACCTTGAATATAGCTCACAACAAGAAACATGAAAACACAAGAAACCATCAGTAAAATAACAGATTTCATGATTCAAAGGCTGATCTGAGTTTGTGATCTCTACTCTGTTTTAAATTTGTCAAAACTATATTATTTTTCCATTGTTAACATTCGTAATAAAAATATATACACAACACATATGATAAAAATAGTAAGTTTCCGAGCTAAGTCAACGAGATCAACGCGATCGTTCATTTATTTTAGAAAATTCTTCTAAATTTTGTAATTTTTTAATACTTTGTTTTTTTTACTAATTTTGGAAATATTTAAAATCTTAATTGAACACGTTAATATAAGAGTAAGATGTAGCAAAAAATTATGTGGTTGTAGAAATTAGGGAAATTACTATTTTAACCAAATTGAAAAATACAATAGACCAATTCTTAAGTTTTCGGTCAAACCTGAAATGGTGTACTACCATATACTAAAAAATGATCGGCATCAGAGACTATCCATTTACAATAGCAGTTTCATTTGAATATTGCTCAACACTAAAAACATATTTGCTTCATTTGAGACAGCACAAGGTGCAATACATGGATAAAGCAGCATAATCATGATATCATTTACTTGTTCCACTAGAATTTTTGGTTTATCAGAACATCATCAAATTTGTTGTCACCCCAACAACAAACGGCTCCATCAATAATCGCGTCAAGAAGTAGAAAACAACACCTAACATGATAGATATGGGAAGGGCTGGCAGAGCTCGGTTGTATACGGACAACAATATAAGAGTGCACCCAAGTCCCGAGATGATCGCAAGATAACAGGCATAAACCGTCATCAGATCATACATTGCTGCCCTACCAACTAGAACACTGTAGAAAATAAAGTCTCCAAGACCAAGTTTTATGCCTCTATTTGAACTGTCGACAACGTTATCTGACTCCTCCAAACCTCTAGCTTCTTCCCTATTATCTCCCCAGCCCATCAACTCAACAAGAGGAGACATTTCTTCATCTATAGCAGATTCTCTGTCATCGATATTTCCTCTGGTTCCAACTCGGGTTGAGTGCTCTGAGGATATGGCAGATGCAAAATGTCCTTCCCCGGGACTTCCAACCAGAGGTGACCTCTCAACACCACCTCTGTTTCCATTACCATTACCATCTACATTGTCTATATCCCTCACTGCAACAGCATTATAATCCAGATTATGAGTATTTTCCCTTCCAAGTTGGTTTCCATCATGATTCCGAACTGCTTGGAGCTCTACTGATCCAGAATCTGAAACTCCACCACCGCCAACCAAAGCCCTTAAACTCGAGCCACGGTTTCTCCCTTGGTTGCCTGAGGAGACAGTCGGCCTAGCTTCATAAACCATAGCAGGAAGTTCCTCATCGCGGCTGGAAGCCAGCTCCACCAACAGCTTAAGTGGTCCACCAGGTGCCAAAACAGCAACCAAGTCATACAAAGCTAAAGCCACCAAGACAAACCATGTAGTCCATTCAGGTAACTTAGTGAACCAAGCTGCAACAACTATCCCCATAACAACCATATAACACTGTCTCAGAACAATTGGAATTCCACCAGCAAACACTGACAAAGTCCCCAAGATGGTGAAATTGAAAAGCAATATAAAGCAGGTGATGGAATCTACAGGAATCGAGAAATGCTGGATAATCGACAGGAAAATTGCACCTCCCATCGTACCTGAGATAAGAATCCAGCAACACAATCAACAACGAATTCGAGTAAACCCTAAGAAGAGGAATTGCAGGAGGAAACAAAAATTGGCACCTAAGACGAAGAAGGCGGAGAAGCGCATGTAATGCTTGAGGAAATTGGTGAAATTGTAGTAGAAGAGGAGAACAAGGATGAAAGTGACGGCGGCAACGAGGACGACAAAGACGATGGCGTTGGCGAGGCTACCTTCGAGCTTGACGGTGGCGGAGTCGGAGGGATTCTCGATGTAAATGAGGTTAGCGGCGGTACGGATCTGAGGGTCGGAAGTGACAGAGAGAGAGTAGGTGAGAAGGACGACGAGGAACATGCAAATGGAGACAGGAGCCATCACGCCGATTATCTCAACTCCGAGAGAATCGAGAATACTAGACTCCATCGTTATCGATTTCGGAGGAGTTTTTGGCTACGCCATTTTTTTGGGGGTTCTAGAGGAAGAAGACGAGAGGAGAGAGTTACTACTTACTACTGCTGAGTCTTCTTTTCTGACCAGCTCCTTTATGCCAAAAAAAAAAAATTATGTTTTTGTCGACCAACGATTTCATTTAAAGCCCAAAAGGTAAAAAACGGTACAACAATAACAGCCCATTAGGCCCACTAACTACAAACAAAGTTAAAATTTATTTAAATCATATTATAAGAAAATTCGGTTTTGGGATTAAATAATTCGATTCAATTTGGTTCACATCGGACCGGAACGGATTAAACCGGATTTATCATATTTATCCGCTGATAATTTTGCGATTGGCGCACCGAGAAGCAGAACCTAAACAGAGGAGGAATGTCCGCAAACGAGATACCCGACGAGATATGGAGAAAGATAATGGAGATTGGCGTAAAGTCCTCGACTTTCTCCTACAAAGATCTCTGCTGCATCTCCATCTCCTCTCGCCGTCTCTGCCGATTGTCCTGTGATGATTCCCTCTGGGACCTTCTGCTCTTCCTTGATTTTCCTACCCATATCGTCTCTGCTTCCTCTTCTCAATCTCCCTCCAAGTTTATCTACAGGACTAGGTAATCTTTTTTGATTGAAAAAATTTACTGTCTTGTCAGTGTGAGTTATTCAAGGTCTATGGTTGTGGTTGATATAGGTTTGAGAGGGAGAAGGAGAGGAAAGTAGCTGCCCATAGAAGAGCTTTACTCAGGAAGGAGAGTGAAATTTCAGAATGGGGCCGGAGGATTCGTGAATTGGAGGCTCGATTGTCGGACGAGGCTGAGAGATTACATTCTTCTTCTCTGCAATTTTCAGATTTGTTGAAAGTGAGGTAATCCCTAACCTGGAGAACATTTTGTCAGATTCCATAAAGTTTCGTTTTTTAACTTGTTATTGCTCTCTTGTCTATGGCTGCTGCGAGTAGCAATTATAAAGGAGATCTTTTTTCAGCAGTGACAGTTTAGAAAGATGATTCTTTGTTTGATCAAAGTGAAATGAGATTGGTCCTTTTGTTCTTGCCTCATGCATCCTTCTCATGTAATTTGTTATTGTCTCTCTCAGGCAAGCATCAGTAGCTTTGAACGTTTGGCAGCCACAGATTGTACGTGGCAGACAAAAGCAATTAGTTGAGCAAAACGCTGTTCCTGTTGAGGGTCGATTGCGTGCACTTGAGATGGAGATTAAGTTATGCAAACAGCAAATCATGGGTGTGAATAAAGCACTTGTGAGTATTATTTAGGGAATTCCAATCATGTTCTACACTTCCACTAGTTGACTTTTTAAGCCTCTTTTATTGTTTTCTCTGTAATTGCAGAGGGAGGTAAAACACCGATTTGACATAGCCATAAAAGAGCTAGAATCCATGAAGTATCATCCTTTACGAGATTACAAGTCGAGTGGAGACCAAGGAAGTAATGGCAAGACAAAGAAGTTGAAAACGAGCATTAGCTATCGTGGATACCAAGAAAGTAATGGCAAGAGGAAGAAGTTGAAAACAAGCATCAACTGTAAGTTTATGAACAATTCTCACTTTTCTTCATGTAGTAGTGTTGCCGAGAAATACTATTCTTACTGTCTAAAAATCTCCATGAGTATTTTTCTGAAAATCTGCTTATTCTCTCAAGTGTGACACAATGCAATGTAGAAGAGTTTTATGCCAATATGGATTGCCTGAAACTATGACATGGAGGAGCAATATTATTGCAACGTCAATGGGTAGTTAGAAACAAATGTTTAAACTTGTAGATTTACTTGTTAATCTTATCAATGGTATTGATTGTGAGTTTTTAATATATTTACCAACACTTGTTGCCTGGATTCCGCAAAAGCAGTTCAAGCAATACCCAAACACAAGGAGAAGCTGTTCCACGCAGAATCAGAATGATGGTTGGCTGCTCCATTCCACAAAGAGACAGAACAGTGAACACTGAGAGTTGTTCTTGTATTGTTTGTTGTTTTATTACCAATTAGATTTGTAGAATCACATAATGTGGTCGATATATTCTGTAACTGTAAGGGTTGGTTGATCTGTCGGTATACTATATCATGAATAAAGATGTATCTGTTCAAAAAGTATAATCATGGCTCTGTTCTGCTTTACTGTTCCCATTGGACCTTTTTTGTAACCGGATTTTCCAGTTTTGCTAAGAAATGATTTCATGATCAAATTGATTCTTAATCTTGTTTTTGTTGCATTGAATCATAGTTGGTTCGGAATCTACCGCTCGAAATCTGCCGGGAACCTATATGAGGAGGATTTACGGATATGGAAATCTGTTGTCAATCTGGTAATTGAGTTTTACTCTGATTAAAACAGAAAAAAAAAAGTTACCCTATTAGCCGCGTATAAAAATTCTTCAGCGTGTGGGTCCCGATGGTGACGTGTCACATTTTCCCTTTTGCTTAATCTTAATTGGATAATTTAACAAAAAGGTCAAAACAGTGGCATAATCGTAAATCCTGGTCCCTCCCTTTTTAACTCGCCGGCTATGTTTCCGTCACTCCCACCACTTTTTTGATTGACCAAGGAAGAAGAAGGAGAATCTAACGAGAGCGATGAAGCATATTTTCAAGAAGCTACACAGAGGTGGGAATCAAGAGCAGCAGAATCGAACCAACGATGCCCTTCCTTCATCCGATCAAAATCGGAATCACGTTGCTCCTCAAGCAACACCTTCTTCGGTTGCGGAGACTCTTCCGGTGACCGGAGCTACTTCTTCGATGGCCTCTCATTCTCCGACCGCTGCTTCGAACCGTGCGGATTACATGTCTTCCGAGGAGGAGTACCAAGTTCAGTTAGCCCTAGCGATCAGTGCTTCGAATTCGCAATCCAGTGAGGACCCGGAGAAGCATCAGATCCGAGCGGCGACGCTTCTGAGCTTAGGAAGCCATCAACGGATGGATTCAAAGAGGGATTCATCGGAGGTGTTGGCCCAGAGGTTATCGAGACAGTACTGGGTAAGTCTTCTCTTTTCATCTAGGGTAATGCTGAATTCTCTCTTTGTGTTTATCGAGTCTTGGGTCATAATGACTTCAAGGTGTGCTGAGCCTGATTAGAGCCGAATTTCATTATTGTTGGGATTCTTATTAGCTAATTGAATTTCATTACTTCTTTACTGATCCATATGCCAAGTAAACTTCTTTCTGGTGATTTTTTGGTTGTTGCTGCACCTGCTTGGTTTTATACAGCTTTGTTTACTCTCTGACGATTCAGCTTTTTTAGAAAGGCTGAACTTTATTGTAACGGTGTGGGCTAATTGTCTTGCCGTTTCTGCACTGCCTCCATGATTTTACATGAATAACTTGTAGTAAATATTTCTAGGAATATGGCGTGCTTGACTATGAAGAGAAAGTTGTCGATAGTTTCTATGACGTGTACAGTCTATCCACAGACTCCGCAAAGCAGGGAGAAATGCCATCGCTGGAAGATCTTGAAAGCAATCATGGAACACCTGGCTTTGAAGCTGTAGTTGTAAATCGACCCATTGATCCTTCCCTGCGTGAGTTGCTAGAGATTGCAGAATGCATTGCAGTGGATTGTCCTACTACCAGTGTTAGTGTGTTGGTACAGAGGCTGGCTGAACTTGTCACAGAGCATATGGGTCGATCTGCTGAAGATTCCAATATAGTACTGGCAAAGTGGACTGACAAAAGCAGCGAGTTCAAGGCAGCATTGAATACTTGTGTATTCCCTATTGGATTTGTAGATATTGGTATCTCAAGGCATCGTGCTCTGCTTTTCAAGGTACATTTTCAAACTCTCTTCCTAGATTTAGTGTCTTTTTTTATCCTACTTGTGGCAAGTAATGAAATCTTTGAATGATTGACCACCTAGTAAAAAGAAGTTCAAACGAAATCTCACATGTGAAGGATGACTGAACAGACGCATTGTGCTGTTTTCGCACAATCAGATGCTTTGCTGCTAATGCTCATCTATCTTGTTTGATTTTGAAAATTGATTCGTGGGCAGTTTACTTCTCCCAATGTAGGTTTTGGCAGATAGTGTCGGGTTACCTTGTAGGTTGGTAAAAGGTAGCCACTACACAGGCAATGAGGATGATGCTGTGAACACGATAAGACTTGAAGATGAAAGGTTGTTGTTGTTTATCCTTTTCACTATGATTCCAGTTTGTTTTTTCCTTTTTGCCAAAATGTAACATATCCCCCCTTCTTTCAGAGAGTACTTGGTTGATCTTATGACAGATCCTGGGACGCTTATACCTGCTGATTTTGCAAGTGCTAGGGATAATACTGTTGAGCCATATAACTCAAATGGAAACAAATTTCCTACAGCTCAGTTGTCAAATGACTTCAGGCACTCAGCACCAAAGCTCTCAGAAGGTGAAGGCAGTAGTCAGAGTTCTATGGCCGATAATAATTCTCCTTTGGGTAGAAGGACAGAGGCTGAAAAGACAGATTCCTCATACCCAAAGTTGGGACCGCTTCGGAACGTAGATTTGAGCACTTCACCTTCTAGCGTAACTAGTTCTACTCAGTTGGAGAACATTTCCTCAACAGCAATTGCAAAAGGGAGTCGAGGAGCCATAAATGATTGTTCAAGAACAAACATGAATATAGTTCCATACAATCAGAACAGTGAGGAAGACCCAAAAAACCTATTCGCAGACCTTAATCCATTTCAAAATAAGGGAGCTGACAAGCTGTTTATGCCCACTAAATCAGGTTTGAATAATGTCGATGATTTTCATCAACAGAAAAATAATCCTCTGGTTGGTAGATCACCTGCACCAATGATGTGGAAGAATTACAGCTGCAATGAAGCCCCAAAGAGAAAGGAGAATAGTTATATGGAAAATCTTCTGCCGAAGGTCCACCTTGAACCACGTTATGGTAACACTCATTCCTCATATGCTACCTCAAGCTCCAATGGAGCTGTTTCCTCAAATGTGCCTTGCAGAGACAATGTGACATTTGTGTCCCCGGTTGCTGCACCATCATCCTTCACATCCACTGAAAATCAGTTCACACCAAGTATAGCAGGGGATATGAACAGAAACACCAACAATGAACTAGATCTCCAGCCTAATACTGCTGCTGTAGTACATGGACACCAAAAGGATGAATCTCACATCCATGATCATAGAAAGTACACAAGTGATGACATGTCCACTGGGTGTGATTCGAGGCTTAAGGATCACGAAAGTACAAGTTCATCTCTTGATTCTACATCCTACCGGAATGATCCTCAAGTTCTTGATGATGCAGATGTTGGTGAATGTGAAATTCCTTGGAATGATCTTGTTATTGGGGAGAGAATAGGATTAGGTAATGTGCCCTGCAGGTTACGTTTACATGTTTGAAATATTAAACTAGTTAGTATCTATTTCCTTTTCTTTTTTTGACGGCAGCTAATTATTTTCTATTGGGAGTAAAATTTTATAGCATATCCCCTTTCTACCATATACAGTTGCTTATTACTAGGGATAGCTATACATTGAAACTTTAGGTAGCATATAGCTTTTGGAGATCACATGTTCTAATGCTTATCTTATTTTGGTTAGGTTCCTATGGAGAGGTCTATCATGCTGACTGGCATGGCACGGTTAGTTTTTTCAAAACCTTATAGTTGACTTCATAAGAGCTATTGTAGCAAATTTTATCTGTAATTTTTCCAGAACTTGCTCTACTCTAGTTGTTTTCACATTATTTAAGGCTTGAATTGTGTCAAGGAGCATGTATCTGGAACTTCAAACATTATTAACCTGTCGAATTTGTTACTGTTTGGAAGACTTAAGACTATGTTTATATGAGATGAGTGCAAAGAGAGTAAAATGCAGCGCCTAGATGCATGTTTGGTCATTAAACAGTCACAGCAGTGTTTGTATTCTTAAAGTGAAACAGTTTTTAAAAGCACTTTTAATATAGGCTTGTTTCAGTCACTAGCCACAAATGCATCAGTGCCCTCCATGGTATTGTCTCACATTCTCTCATCAGTATTAGCTGTTGTCGTTTTTGTTTATTTAGTGATAGATTATTTTTCGTGATTTAAACTAGCCTTCTATGTCTCCCCATGCTGTTTATCTTCACAGAAGTGGAAGGTTTCAAGTTGATTTTTCTGCGTCTTTGTTATGGTTGGATTTAGGAAGTTGCTGTCAAGAAATTTTTGGACCAGGACTTCTCAGGTGCTGCTTTAGCCGAGTTCAGAAGCGAAGTAAGCCATAAGTTCACTTTCGTTTATTTACTAGTATTCTTAGCTACCCGTTTATTTTTTTGGATGAACCACAATGGCCTACCTTGCAGCTGCTTATATGCTTGCCTTTGGATTCCCACTCAATATTAATATTTCCATATCTGAAGGTACGCATTATGCGAAGATTGCGTCATCCAAATGTTGTATTCTTCCTTGGGGCTGTTACTCGTCCTCCAAATCTTTCCATCGTCACAGAGTTTCTGCCTAGGTTTGTCCCATCTTCTTGTTGTGAAAATTAATTGCATATGAGATTTTTGAGTCCCAAAAGATTCTAATGTTTTTTGCTGTTTTATTATAGAGGAAGCTTGTATCGAATCCTTCATCGGCCCAAATCTCACATTGACGAGCGGCGCCGGATTAAAATGGCCCTTGACGTGGTAGAAAAATAGATTCATATATCAACTTCCATGTCCCCAGGCTTATTTCTTCAAAATAGTCACTAAATTCCAGACCGACCATTGTTACTTTCAGGCAATGGGGATGAACTGCTTACACACCAGTACACCGACAATTGTTCATCGTGATCTCAAAACACCAAACCTTTTGGTTGATAACAACTGGAATGTTAAGGTAGGAAGAAAT